TCCACGAAACTTAGACCTGTAGCCAGTCACTAGCAAGCATCAGATTAATTTTCAAGCGTTAGATTGTAGGTATTTTTCTTCACTTTCAACTTTCACCAGTTGAAATATCAACAAATGCGGTTGGGTAAGTGGATAACAAAACAAAACCCTATAATTATAGGACTAGTAGGCTAGTATAAAATGTTACATAACATGGTGTGAAATTTGATATGATAGAATTCAATATTGTAAAAAAACATTTTGGATTTAGAATGACAATTGGGACAAGAAGAAACAACTCAGAGTGAGAACAGTAATAATAATAATAATCGTAGTAATAAGGGAAAGGTACATAGATTAACTAAAAAAACTACATGAATAAATAAACGTCTATCCATCTACGGCGAAGGCAGAAGTAGGGATTGTACATACTTCTTTTGTACACAAAGGTCTGGTTTAAATTCATGAATGGTCAACACCTTCGCCGTCTTTAGAAGCATATAACGAAGAAAACAGCTTGATTCAGCTTGATTCCACACCGTATTTTCAGTACAAGTATGGAATTTTCAGCATGGATATCGGTAGCCCAAATTCAGGCCGACCATGGATATCGGGTGTGCGCCGGCAGGGGATCGAACCCCGGACCATGTGCATGGTCGGCAAGTTAGCATGAATTCGGTAAACGATCCTAAAATCTTTAAGCTGACGAGTGCCAACTAGCACGAAACCTAGGTCCATGGCTCCCCCTACCGACTGTCTCCAACCATCTAACATACTAAGCCTTACTAAATATCATTCACAGAACTTGAAGAAAATAGGAGACGATCTACATTTGTTTTTAAAAACTCATACAAATTATATTAAAACTATACAAGGTTTGCACAAAATTTCACAAAAAAAAATAATAATTCCTCTTATACAAAGAAGTTATTATTGTCGACCTCCACCTCCAGTATTTCCGCCTCCTGCTGCATTAGGATCTTGCATATTGGAGAAAAGAATGAATAGGAAGACTGCTGGAATGATGTAGGTCCACTGAAAAACAGAAAACAAAGATAAAGTACGATAGACTAGATGGGATTCACTTTTGAAGTGAAATCAATAATTCCTCTGTTCTCTGAATGCAGAACATACAGCTGCAAGATTTCAAAGTATCCGTAGCATCGGTGTTGTTTTTACGGGATGGAGTTATTAGCCTAACACCCAACATTTCCTCTCTTCCGGGCTTACTATCGCCTAGTACACTGGACGAGGTGTAGCAGTGCGTCAGCCAGGAATTGGATCTGGACCTCCCTCATGTCTGATAAGCACTCTACCATTGAACCACTGCCGCGTTTAAATAGAACAACAAATTTTGAGGATAAGCATGCAATTGTTAATCTGAGTTTTCAGAGGTGAAGTCTGATCCGCTGAATTCACGGTTTCTTCGAACTACTTTTTCTGTTTATCACACACACACACACACAATAATTAATAATTATGGTAAATTCATTTGCCTTTAAATCTCCTTTAATTCATCTTTCTATGGAAGGAATGTAAGCATTTGACACCTCAGTCTTTACAATTAGGATGGATGTTTCTTTATTGCGTCATACAACAAACAAATTGTTGAACAGTAACTACACTCCTGTGCACCACTTTACTTTCTCAGACTGAGAAACCAAGTTCTTTAAAAGCACATAACAATCAGGGCATAATTATCTTGCCATGTTGTCTACGATGCTAGAATAATCCACACAGCCATTATTGCTGAATTTCGGGAAGGCAGAGGAAGACCTAGACAACTGGATAAAATCCGAACGCTTGAATTGATAATCCAAAAATCTAGTTACATTGGTACGCGCTGACATACCCGCTATCCGTATTGTAAAAAAGAACATGAGGTAGAAACTGAAAGGCAACAGGTCACAGTTACACCTTGCATAGAAATGCAACAATTCAGCTTGCTACACTTTGAAGTATGACACGAAGAGGATGTGAATAAATACATGTCGTCATTAAAATATATAAATCGCCTATAGGTTTATTATAACTTCGTGGAGCCTCAAAAAATGAGTTTCGATGAGCTATTATAACTGATTCTTCTTCTTTCTTTACTTCGGCTATCTCCTACGGGAGGATGAGCCGGCTTCATGAACATCTCGAATCATCGCTGCCCAGGCGCGGCAATCTGATGAAGAGAGTTCATGAAGTTTCATGGGAATTTGGTACGAGTGATGTCCCCAGAATCGCTCGGCCTTTTGTTTGAGAGTGCAGTTCTAGCCTTTACACAACCAAGTGTGACCTACAAGGCAGTAGGAGTGGAGTAGGGAGTCCACTATCCATTGGCATCCGGTGACCGCAGTTCGGTTCATACGCCTTTTTGAATGGGGCCAGACATCCAACAAGCTCTTTGTCCATACGTCTGCCGGTGAGCTCCAGTGAGCTTCATACGCCAGTCGTTGGAGGTTTGGAATCAGGGTTTAGCCATCACCCCTAGACTGTCATCCAATGGACAGTCAATCCGGTGAAGAGCGCCGGGCATCCGCTTTCGCCCTCTCACTTTGGTGAAAAACACCTCCGCCACGTGAAGGCAGTGAGTAGGACTTCCTCAGGAGAGGCTATGTAAGACGCCCGGTCATATGGGAGCATTTCAAGAGGTGTGCGGAGGGATGGCCTACCCGCAGCGCAAGGCACCAACCCCAGACCATCCTGAGGCTTTGGAGGCATTATTATAACTGATTGGCTTCAACATAGACGAGTGAATGCGTCTACGCCACCACTGAGAACAATTTCGAGCCATATCACCAATTGTCTTCAGTATACATTGGTTCTAAAAATCCCAAAGACCCCAGCCAACCAGGAAGTCTACACTTTCCTTCGCGGCTCAAGCTAACAGTCAAAGATTTCACAGACTGATTCCATGTTTTGGTTTGCAACCACCACCAGATCTTTTCCAAGTTGATCCTATGTCAGCTAACATTGCCCATAGAGGAAGGCGATGGTTAGACATGAGCAACATATGTCCAAGCGATCTCAATCGATTCACCTTCACAATCTTATCGATCGACTTCCCCTCCTTAACTAACACTTGAAGCCTTACCTTAATGTCAATCAGCCTATTACACCCCCTGACGTGGAAGATACAATGGAATTTAATCCACTTACTGACTCATATGCCAAAGTAAAACCTCCCACAGAAGAACATCATCTCAAGTTGCCAAACTTCAGAAAAGCGCATAGAGTAAGTCAGCAGAAACATACATGTAACTGGAAGAAAAACTAAGAGGAGACTATTCCAGAAACAGGAGTAAATACATTTTTGAGAATGAAAACCATTTCAGGCCACTTCACAAAACTTCCGAACATTCCAAGTCAGCGGTAGCTACGTAGCTCAGAACAACCTTTCGTGATTTTATGGGTTGGTACAATGTTTTGTTCTGACTATGCCTTATGTGAAACGTCTATATTACCTGTGTACTTAACATTAACTGTAACTGTACATTCTTTAAACATGAAAGTTAACCAGACTAGTTATCAATCAAATGAGAAAATACATCCCTTTAATCTGCTGAACTTTGGAAAGGCACACAAGATGTATGTTAGAGTACAATTAAATAAACGCCAGCAAAGAGTTTCAAGAATTGAATGATAGCAAGGAATGAATAAATCTACGATATTGCAAACGATTTTTAGCCATTTCACTTATTCTCAGTATCTCAAAGACCCCAGTCAGGCACTCTACACCTCCCTGAGTAACTCATATCAACAGTCAAGGACTTCATGAACTGGTGTGAGGCCTTTATCTGACTACTTCCAAAAAGTTTTTGAAATCTAATACTACTTCAGCTAACACAGGTTTTCAAGGAAGCTGTTGACTCGGAAAGCATAAATGGTACCCCAGCCATCTCGAAATATACAGCCTTATAGATCAGCTCACCATTCTTATCTAACGGCACACCTAAACTCACTACCATTAACCACAGTACACCTAACACGAGACTAAAAGGAAGCACTGGCGGTTGGTAACCGCTATCCTTTCTACATATTCCACCTTTAACACATTTATCTAACAATTATGAAGTGAAATGAATGTCATGCCAGAGCCGAGATAATGCAAGTGGGTAAATGGCAAAAGTGCATTTGGAATCCGTCCTGAGACCTTGTTGGCAATCAGTACATTAGGGCTGATGTCACTTTCCAACAATCTCACTACTTACTCTTAAACTAGACTAGGTGCAGACCAGTCCTGCAGAATGATCTTACGCTTGACATGAGTAACAAGTCAATCTCAGAAAAAACGAAGTCGATCACCATTAGTACATATATGATGATGTCATCAGGTATTCTTGACATATAACACTAGGTGTCAGCACTTTTGACAACAACTCTTTTTTTTCGAGCTCCCATATGACTACATGAATGCGAATAGACTGTCTTCACTGACATTATAACATCTCTCGGAACGCTATCCGCAGTTATCATGGTCAAAAGGATACCCAAATGATAAACAGGAATCCCACCTTCAGCTTACATAGAAGTAACAAACTGAACTGGTAAACTTCCGCGGAAATGTCTACATTGGTCAGTTAGTCAATCAAAAATATAGCGAATCTCGGATGCTTATATGCCTACATTTCAGAACCTGTCATTTACATGTGTGCATAAGATCAATTTACATCAGGATGGGAAATATAACCAAAGTTAAAAATAGTTGTCGATGACTAGAAGTCATTCTGTATCATTTGCGTTAGGTGCATATTAAAATTAAACACTTCAAGGGGATGCTGAGTCAGCACAAGCACTTGATGACTTACATATTTTGCAAAAAATGAGCGGTTGTCACTCTGTTCAGCGCGAGCCATCTCCTCCCGTTGCCTTTCAAGTCTTTCAAGATATTTTGCAGTTTCCGGACTATGTATTTTATTATCAATGAATATCACAGATACCTTGATCCCAACTTCGGTTTCTGAATTTCGAAGTTCACAGATATGTCCGGGAGGTCCAAGTGATTGATGGAAGTATCAGGGGGACAGTCATATTTTGAAGTACTTAAATGTATGGCAATTGGATTTCCAACGTCGTTAACACTAAGGGTTACCTTAAGTTTCATCCTAGAAGCAACAAGTTGGCACTTTAAAACACTAGAGAATAGAAAATTTTATTACCGCTAGGATAGAGGACTCGATGAACTCTTTTTCCGAGATGGGCATACGAATAGTATACAGCCTGCCAGCCGTAGCAGACTCCTACAAGTTAAAGAGACATTATATTGTGGTATAACACAAACTAGTAACAGCTGTTTTTCATTCGCAGTGAAACTATGGCCATCAGATACTAAACTTAGTACCCCAGAAGATGACTTGATTGTAATTCCATTTAATTGGCTAAAAACTCCATCTGATAATTATTTCGTGGTGTATACTACATACCTTCCATTAAACTATGTTCTAGCAAGTAGGTAGAGGCTGAAGTATCATAAGCCTTGTAAAGATAAATTCAAATTATTTTTATCTTACATAAACTGAGGATAGAGAAAGTGCATGTACTAAACACCATGCAATAAACATTACAAAGAATCCGTGCTTTAAAATTCCTTATGTAGAAAAACACGATTGTAAGTAGCGCTGATGAGTATGTGCACTAAAACAACAGATTCAGATTTATTGGTTGAGGATAGAAGGCTTGAGGGCTATGTTAATCCTTTTCTAGTACATTTTTGTGCTTGTCCGAACCCTTGAATAAATCAGTGGGAGATGCAGACCCAATTTCTTCTGGGAGTCGGTTCCAAGAGCTTATGACTCGGGTGTGAGAAACAGTACTCAACAGAAATATGATTTCTTCCTGGCTTTTGAAATCTCCTGCTATGTAATCTAAAGTATTCAGATCTGGTGGGAATCAAAAGACCAAATAAGTCGTTATTTAAGATTTTAAACATTGTAATTAAATCTCCTCTCTGCCTACATACGGTATGGTAGGGAGAAGATATTTAAACTTTATAGTCTTCCCTTGTATGGTTAAGCAGTCATATCGAGAATAATACGTGTTGCCTTCCTTTGGACCTGTAGCGTTAAATAATTCCCTAGAATTATTGACCACAGCAATCACCAATGAACATTGGATGCTGACTCCGTCGTGTCACGTTCGTGCACGATCACTAGCCAGTTAAGCAATTATCTCGCACTCCGATTTGGTCCCAAAATATATCTCGTAATTTGGACGATCAACTATTGTGTTTTGCTTTGCCTTTGGTCTACGCGGAATGAATACTATAGAAGTTGTGGGTATTAGATCTTGCGTTCGTAAACTTCGTACTATCCGTGAACGTCAACACCCTCAACCTCTAAACTGGTGAGTCCGACCGCGAACTTCATCTTTGGTAAATACACAGACAAATCTGGTGAGTTCGTTCCATTTTGTATTTGTTCTTGTACTATTTTCAAACTATATATATTTCATCATGAGTGATCATGCTCCTAATGTCATTCGTATTCGCTCAACTGCCAAAACTATTCCGCTCGTACCATTTTGGCCAGATAATACTGAATCATGGTTTCAGAGAGCTGAATCTGATTTTAGCAAGCATGTGTTAACTAATCAGCCTTCACACTTCCTTGAAGTTGTTCACGCCCTGTCGCGGGAATTCAGTATGTGCGTAGCTGTGCAGATGTCAAGCCCAGAGGTAAGTAACTCGTATGAGTTGCTTGAAGCAACCCTCCTAAGGAACAACTTTCTCACGGATTGACAGTGCCCGGACGAATTATTTCGCGACGTCAAGTTAAGTGGTCAGTCAGCCGTGAGCATGCTACTAAGAATGAGAGAAGTTATTGGCCAGTGTCATTTTGATGAATGACTTTTCAGAGAACTGCTGTTATCCAAAATGCCACAGTCAGTACATGCTGGTGATCATTCCGGGTGTTATTTTAGACGACTTAGCTGTTTCTGCAGATACAATTCTAGAAATAACAAAACGGCCAGTTATCGAAATATGCTGAGTTCACTAACAGACTTTGAGTAGGGACACTGAAGTGATAGAGTTACGCAACTCCATCCAGCAGCTGCTTAGGTCAAACATACCTTGTAATTCCCCCATCGTCGTCCGAACTGACCTCACGAAACTCACGTGATAGGTCTAAATCCAAGCCACGTTCACATAAAACCCTGACTGGTGTTGGTATCACAATACCTATGGCCAGGAAACTAAGCGTCCCTGAAAACCTTGCAATTTCGGCAAATTCTTAGAGACTGTGGGAAACTATCCGCCGGCACGCGTTAGCGGCAACCATCGCCGGTAGCACTAGTCGCCTACTTTATATTTGTGACGTGGTCAGCCTGAACCGATACTTAGTCGACACAGGCGCCGAAGTCAGTGTCCTTCCTGCTACAGCAGCAGATCGACAGAAGGAACCTAGCTTCAACTTACAGGCTGCAAATGGAAAGCCAATTGCAACCTGTGGTCGCAAATACGTCTATCTGAACGTAGGTTTACGCAAACCTATTCAGTGGAATTTCCTTCTCTCTGACGTCACAATGCCCATCATTGGCACGGACCTGCTTAACCATCACGATCTACTCGTAGATGTCCGCCAAAAACGACTGATAGACAGCATTACTAGACTTTCCATTAAAGCCATCAATTACGTAGACCATAGCTTGTCACTCGTTAAGAAGGCAATCTTTGATCCAACATTCCAACCAATTGTTGATAAGTACCCGGAACTTAATAGCCCGTGCATAACCAGCAATGTAATGCACCAAATCATAACCTTAGGACAACCCGTGACATCTAAAGCACGAAGACTTGCTCCTGATAAACTGCAACTCGTTAGAAATGAGTTCGACCATATGCTCACCCTTGGCATCATTCGGCCATCGAATAGCCCATGGCCATCGACACCGCATATGGTACCAAAAAAGATAGCCACGATTGGCGACCCACTGGTGATTACCGGCGAGTGAACGCCAAAACAACCCCTGATTGCTACCCTTTGCCTCACATACACGATTTCACGACAACATTATCTGGTGCAACTATATTCTCTAAAATCGACTTGGTTAAAGCGTATAACCAAATCCCGATAGCACCAGAAGATATTCTGAAAGCGGCTATTGTTAAGCTTTTCGGACTTTTTGAATTTCTTCGTATGCCATTCGGTCTCCGGAATGCAGCACAAACATTCCAACGCTTCATCGATGAAGTATTTCGCGGTCTCGACTTTGTATACGCATACTTAGACGACTGCCCCATTGCAAATTCAGACAAGGAAACTCACCTTAAACACTTGGACTTGGCATGGTGTTACCATAAACAATCAAAAGTGTCAGATAGACGTTGACTCACTCGACTTCCTGGGTCACACTATTGACTTCCAGGGCATTCGCCCACTGGCTACTAAAGTCGAAGTAATACTGAACTTTCCGGAGCCAAAGACAGTGAAAAGTCTTCGCACCTTTAACGGCTTGGTAAGTTATTACCGACGGTTTATTCCCAACTGTGCTTCTCCGATTCAGCCATTGACAGACCTCCTTCGAGGGAATAACAAGTCTATCGAACTCGACGCGTCTTCTAGACATGCTTTTACTCAGGTAAAGAAAGCTATTGCGGATGCCACACTTCTAATGTATCAGGATCCAACGGCACCGTTAAGTATCTCAGTTGATGCATCAGACACTGCAATCGGCGCAGTTCTGCAACAACTAGTTAACAAAGAGTGGCAACCACTCGCCCTTTTCTCGAGGAGACTTCAATTAGCTGTTACGAAGTACAGCACATTTGGAAGAGAACTTCTAGCTATGTACTGTGCTATACGTCATTTTCGACATTCAGTGGAGGGTCGTGAATTCATAATTTTCACTGACCACAAACCTCTGACGTACTCTCTGAACTCAACTTCAGATAAGTATTCACCCAGGGAATCACGACAATTGGATTACGTTTCTCAGTTTACATCGGTTATTCGACATGTGTCCGGAGTGAACAACACTGTGGCCGACACCTTGTCGCGCGTTTGTTCCCTCACCCAAATAGACGGCATAGACCCTGTGAAACTGGCTCGTCTTCAAAAAGAAGATACGAAGCTTCAACATTAGTCGAGAACAACTCTGAAATTAGCCAAGAAACCCTTAAGTATGGGAAAAGATGCTATTCTATACGACGTTTCCGCTAGTACTCCTTGCCCCATCGTGCCTAAAAGTTATCGCCGTAACGTCTTCAATACGTTGCATGGCTTGTCCCACCCAGGTATTCAAACTAACGTCAAGGTCGTAACTAGTCGGTTTTGTTGGCCTGGTCGACCACATGGAATGCAACACTCAGTTGTTACATACATTTTCGACAAATCTAAACAATAATGGAGCCTAGGATTATATCATATAAATTGTTCAGACTTATGCAAAGTGTGCTTACTGTCATTATTCCATTACCTTCCCTTGTATATATATATGCTAACTCCATATATACATTATTATCATATTGATCATGCCTGTCAACTGGAGACCCCCATGTGCATAAAGTGAGAATATATTATAATAAGACGCATTTTATTGTTGTATGAGGGAATTGACTTCAAGCTTTATTTATTTTCCCAAATATCTGCAATCTATCCAACAAATACTTGGGTTTTTTCGTTAATTGGAAGTCAATATCTCTATGTTTATTGATGTGTTCCATTGAATCACTGTTTATCAGAATCTTCCCACAAACTAATGACAAAAAGACAGCAACCATGTCATTTAAGCATAAACCAAATTTACGTAATTTAGATGATACTTATCCACGCCATTGCAACTGGTGTGTCCTACACAGGTAGGAATATGTGTGTACCCTAGTATATTATCATTACTAAATATGATTACTAATCCTATGTGTAATTTATCATATTGATGATGTCTGTAAACTGACAATATTGGTAACTTTGCTACCTGTCTCGGAAAAACACTAGATCTAGTATTCATCAATGATGTTGGTATACATGAAGCTCGTAAACGTGCTCCTGCACTGAACTCTAATCATTGCATCATATGTGTACTGCCTAAAATATATTCTACATCACACAAACGTGTCTTCTCTCACCTCTACAGTAAATTTCAGCGGAGATGCTACTCACAAGACAAACTAAGCAAGCTCAGACGCACTTTGAAAGACACTAAATGGGACCTATTTACAGAAAAAACATTAGATGACACAATCACAAACACTACAGATTACCTTAAATTCTGTTTCGAAATATATGTTGTCCTAAAGAAACATTTTTCACTCGATTTGACCGTTTATCTTCTCCATATCTCAAAAAGCTACGTAGAGATAAAGAACTGTTGTCCAAAACAAATGATAAGTCAGGTGTAAAAAAGTTAAATACTCTGATAAAACTCGGAATGCAAAGACTAGATGTTATATATAACCAAAGATTCTTGTCATGTAAAACCCCTTCCAGTTTGTGGAAACTTTTTAAGGAAATAACTAGCGGTAAGCAGTGTACTTCTGTCCCATCTCTTAATGTTGATACTCTTGATAAGTCTTTCATACGCTCTTCTGTCGATGTCCTTCCTAATGATACAAATCACAGACAATAATTTCAGTTGTTTTAATACCCTTGATGTACTTAAATGTCTCCGTTCTCCTGAGCCTTCCCAAAGCCTTGGT